CAGTGGGGCTGTTGTTGTCAGGGTGTTGGTGCTGGGGGTGCTGGGGGTGCTGTTGCTGGGGGTGTCGTCAGTGGGGTTGTTGGTGTTGGGGTGCTGTTGCTGGGGGTGTTGTCAGTGGGGTTGTTGGTGTTGGGGTGTTGCTGCTGGCAGTGCTGTCACCGGGGTGTCGGTACCGGTGATGGCGGTACCGGGGGTGGCAGTGCCGGTACCGGGCCGTGTTGTCACCGCAGCAACACGGGGTCACCTCTCAGCCCCCCGTTCCCCCCTCCCCCCCCAACCCCGGGCTGGGGGGGCCCACGGGGACGGCCCTGACCCACTTGGAAATGGGGCCGGGGCCTGGGGCAGCACGCAGCCTGCAGGACTTAGGGGGAGCAGGTCCTGGAAGGGAGCAGGGCTTATAGGGGAGCAGGGCTTATAGGGGAGCAGGTCCTGGAAGGGAGCAGGGTTTTAGGGGTACAGGTCCTGTGGGGGAGCAGGATTTATAGGGGAGCAGGGTTTATAGGGGTACAGGTCCTGTAAGGGAGCAGGATTTTAGGGGTACGGGTCCTGTAAGGGAACAGGCTTTATAGGGGAGCAGGTCCTTTAGGGGAGCAGGATTTATAGGGATACAGGTCCTGTAAGGGAGCAGGATTCATCGGGGAGCAGGGTTTATAGGGGAGCAGGTCCTGTAAGGGAACAGGTTTTATAGGGGTACAGGTCCTGTAAGGGAGCAGGATGTTAGGGGAACAGGTCCTGTAAGGGAACAGGCTTTATAGGGGTACAGGTCCTGTAAGGGAGCAGGATTTTAGGGGAACAGGTCCCGTAAGGGAACAGGTCCTGTCGCGGTGGCGATTCTATAGGGGAGCAGGCCTTATGAGAGTGCAGGCTTTAAGGGGGTTCAGGCTTTCTGGGGCGCAGATCCTATAGGGGAACAGGTCTTATAGGGGAGTCAGCCTTATGGGGGGGCAGGGGTTCAGGCCATGTAGAAATGCAGGTCCTATAGAGGAGCAGTGCTAAAGGGGGGCGGTCCTGTAGGGGTGAGGCCTTAAGGGGGTCTCAGGCCTTACGGTGGAGCAGGCTTTGTAGAACAGGAGGTTCTGTGGGGTTTGGGGCCTTGTAGGGTTTCAGGCCTCATTGGGGTGCAGGCCTCAGTGTGGGAGCTGGCCTTGTGGGGGGGTGGCTTTGGGT